GACAGATTCCCACTCTGTCAACCAGGTTGAAGTGCAGTGTGGTGATCACAGCTCTCCAATAAAAATACAAAAATTGGTTGGGCATGGTGACCCATGCCTTTAATCCAGCACTTTGGGAGGCTGAGGCAGGCGGATCACCTGAGGTGAGGAGTTTGACACCAGCCTGGCCAACAGGGCAAAACCCCATCTCTACTAAAAATACAAAAATTAGCCAAGTATGGTGGTGGGCACCTGTAATTCCAGCTACTCAGGAGGCTGAGGCAGGAGAATCACTGGGACCCAGGAGGTGGAGGTTGCAGTGAGAAGATACCACCTCACTGTACTCCAACATAGGTGACAGTACAAGACTCTGTCTCAAAAAAAAAAAAGAAAAAAAAGACAAGATCTTAAAAATTCTAGGCCTTACGGGTCACACGACCACTGTCATGCCTACCCCACTCTGCTGTTGGATAGCAAAATCAATCTACAAATGAAGGGGTGTGGTGGCTATGGTGGCTATGTTCAGACAAGAACTTACAAAATTAGGTGGCTAGTCCAGCAGCTGTGCTAACCCCTGAAGGAGAGGAAGAGATACTCACAGTAGGAAATCCCAGTCAGAGCTGACTGCAGTGGTCTCTCCCAACAGAGGTGGTGGGGGTCTAAGCCAGAGGCAGCAGGGAAAGCACAGCACAAGGACGCACAGGCTCAACAGAGAAATGCCACAAGATTTAGTAACCAACTACTGATAAAGCTGAAAGAGGACAGCAAGGTTACTTTTGTGTCAGTGGAAAGTGGGGACAGATTTTGTGTCTGAGGCAAACCCAGGCCAAAATTACTAGCCTTCCCAGAAGAGAAATAAAGACATTGCTGGTTTTTTTGTTTTTTGTTTTTTGTTTTTGTTTTTTGTTTTAGATGGAGTCTCACTCTGTCACCCAGGTTGGAGTGCAGTGAAGCGATCTTGGTTCACTGCAAGCTCCTCCTCCTGGGTTCACGCCATTCTCCCACCTCAGCCTCCCGAGTAGCTGGGACTACAGGCGCCCACCACCACGCCTGGCTAATTTTATTTTTGTATTTTTAGTAGAGATGGGGTTTCACCGTGTTAGCCAGCATGGTCTCGATCTCCTGACCTTGTGATCTGCCCACCTCAGCCTCCCAAAGTGTTGGGATTACAGGCGTGATCCACCATGCCTGGCCTTTTATTTTTTATTTTTTTGGAGACAGGGTCTTGCTCTGTCACCCAGGCAGTGGTGAGATCTCAGCTCACTGGAACCTCTGCCCTCCAGGCTCAGGCGATCCTCCCACCTCAGCCTCCTGAGTATCTGGGACCACAGGTGCATGAGATCATGCTCAGCTAATTTTTTGTATTTTCGGTAGAGACAGGGTCATGCCATGTTGCCCAGGCTGGTCTTGAACTCCTGAGTTCAAGCAATGGATGATCTTGGCCTCCCAAAGAGCTGGGATAATGGGTGTGAGCCACTGTAACTGTTGCTGTTTTCATCACAAAAAAATCATTCTTTTTAAAATCAAACCCTTCATGAGACAGTGGAGTGGAGGATGTAGTGAAGCAGTTTATAGTAATGCCCAAGTTAAAGTAAATATATACACCACCTACAAGATTCCCCAAAATGCCCATAAAAGTCCTACTAAGTTCAACCTGCCTTTTCCACATGAATTCTACCACCTAAGAAAGGGGCACAGAAATCCTTTAGAAAATACTTTATTCTAAAAAAAAAAAAAAAAAAAAGCTGGGTATGCTGCATCATGCCTGTAATCCTAGCACTTTGGGAGGCTGGGGCGGGTGGATCGATTGAGCCCAGGAGTTTGAGGCCAGCCTGGGAAACATATGTTGTCTGAAACTGTCACCCTGCCTGGCACAGAGAAGGGCTTAGTGACATTTGTGCGGTGAACTGAGAATTCTCCTGTTCACCTACAGGGCGTCTTCTGTTTGAGGAAAAGTAGCCACCATTTCTAGGTTTGATATAAGCTTCACAGACTGCTTTCTTCCCCTTCTCCGGCAGGTGGGCATTAACTACCAGCCCCCTACGGTGGTCCCTGGGGGAGACCTGGCCAAGGTGCAGCGGGCTGTGTGCATGCTGAGCAACACCACGGCCATCGCGGAGGCCTGGGCTCGCCTGGACCATAAGTTCGATCTCATGTATGCCAAGCGGGCCTTTGTGCACTGGTACGTGGGAGAAGGCATGGAGGAGGGGGAGTTCTCCGAGGCCCGTGAGGATCTGGCAGCTCTGGAGAAGGATTATGAAGAGGTGGGCGTGGATTCCGTGGAAGCTGAGGCTGAGGAAGGTGAAGAATACTGAGGGGAGGGTGTGGTGAGTTCTCCACTGCCACCCCCAGCTGGCTGCTTTCAAGTTCTTTGCAATTAAAGGTTCTGTATAAAACCAATGCCTCTGAATGTCATGCTGCTTAGCTCTGCCTGCAAGAGCACGTGGGACCCCCAGAGCCTGCATGGACAGCGGTGGGGTGCCAGCCTGCCCTGCTGGCGTGGGGTTGGGTGCAGCGGGATGGTACATACTTAAGGAGCTGCCACAGAAGTAACTTGACACAGAGAAAACGGTTTCTTCAAAGCCAAGTGTTCAGTGTATAGATTTCCTAAATTCTAGGAAAGCAGAGTCAGGGTTTTCAACTGAATTTGCAATTTTGAGGGCTTCTCTATTGATGGGTGATGCTGGCTAAAAAGAAGAGCCTAGAAGTGGAGTGTTTAAATCTGAGGTCTGTGGATGGGGCTTGTGCATGAAATCCCTAAAGCTGTGGGTCAGATGTGTAAGGTCAGGACATTTTATAAAGGGGAAAAAGCGTTACTGTGTCTTGCACAGCATCCGTGACCCACAGAAGGTCACAACACACCCAGCCTTCCACAGAAACCTGGAAGACAGTATTTGCCCTCTGTGCACACACATGGCCACCCGGCCCCTCTTCCCTGACCGTCAATCAATGGTCTTGGTAGAAAACCTCCCACTTTCACTTCAAGTGAAGCTTTGCTGACGTCTTTATAAAAGACTTGCCAATCCAGATGCCTTTTCTCAGAACCCAAATCAGGGCCAGGAAGTTGACCCACAGTGAAGGGGCCTGGTTAATTCAGCTGTGGCACGACCAGGAATGGCACAAAAACCTCATTCTAAGTTAGTGCCTTAATATAATAAAAAAATGGTAGAGATTGCCTGACCTGGATGCTCTGCATCTCAAAAAGGTGTATCATCAACTGAAGGAGAAAACATGTAGCCTTTGCTGGGGACAGTGATGTGACAAGTCTCTGCCCCATCCGAGGTGCTGCTCCGTGTTAGGCTCTTCCCACGCTTGCCCCCCTTGGGCACCCTGGTAGTGCTGGGCAGGTGGGGCATCCTCTGGCTGGATCCTTTGTGGCTGCTGCATTCCGCCAGGGCCAGCACTCCCCCGAGGGCAGTGCTGCCTGTGTTTCTCTCTGAGGAGGCACAAATCACAATTATTAGGAATGGGCGAGCCCCGTAACTGTAGCATCTACTGTACTCATGCTCCTTGAGCAACATTTGTGTCTACATATTTCCATCAAGGCCGCTTCAGCTAGAGGCCCTGCATCAGCCCTGAGTCCTGAGGCTCAGAACCAGTAAAGACAGGTCATGCTCCGGAAGCCCTTGGCAGTGTGCAGGGGATCCTTTAGGATGTATCCCAGGAGCAAAGCCATGCGAGGAGCACACTGCCATGGGAACGTTTTGAAAGGACACACATCACAGGTCCATTTAGGGGAAAGTAGGCACAGCCGGTCCACACCTGGCCTGGACAGCAAACCTGGTCTGCCCTGACGGTGCCAGCAGTGGCAGCAGCAGCAGGGGCTTGCCGCCTCATCCTCTAGGTGTGTTCATGCTGGACCGTACATCTGAGCTGCCCCAGACAGTGACAGGCAGGAAGTACTGCAGTACCAAGTCCTGGAATTGGGTTTCTGATTCCGATTTTGGAAACTCTTACGTTGTTTCCTACCTACCCGAGAGTTCTGCAAATAGTGGTCAAGCTTCTTGCTCTTGGGTTTAGCTGCGGATACCACGACTGGGTTCCTGCCACAGTCTGAATGCTTGAGACTTTCCTTCTGACCGCCAGAGTCTCACTCAGATGAAAGCCACGGGTTCAGAATTTCTTTGATTTGTAATTTGCTTACTTTACTCTTTTGTGTGAAGATAGCCAAGAAAGATCTGCAGCCACACTTGGGCCAGAGCTTTACTTGAATATATTTCCCTGGGCTCAGGGTGTTGATAGCATTAGCAAGACCGACTGAGGGGACCCACCAGGAGAAAAATGTGCCCGGGTAGCAGGCTTGCCTGTGGGGTCACAGCCCCCCATGTGGAGTGCCTTGGCCAGGGCTCTCCTCTGCTCCAGCCCGGTCTGCCCCATAGGCTGTAACCAGGGCATGTGTCCCCTGCTTGATTCACAGTATTTGATCCCCCATTTCATCCCCCCAGCTTTTCCTTCGTCCTGACTGAGACAGTACCTTGACCACCCTGTGACTTGGTTAGCTGCATGTTCCCCCTGCAGGCTCAAACCCTGACTGGGGTCTTGCATCTTCCAGACACTGAGGTCAAGGCTGCAGTAAGCTGTGATTGTACCACTGCACTCCAGTCAGGGCAACAGAGTGAGACCCTGTCTCAAAAAATATGTATTTTGTTTATTTTAATTTTAATTTTATTTTGTTTTGTTTTCTTCATTGTTTTTGTTTTTTTTAATTTTTCCTTAGTCTTCTGTCACACACACACAAAATGTATTTTGTTAAGACACTGACTGACTTAACTGGCCCAAGTCTAAAGCAACGCTGCTTGGTATGCCATGTACCACACTGGAAGAATCCAAAGCTTCTCTTCTCATTGGCACCATCACACCAGGGTTCCTTTGGGCACAGGGCTGATCCCGTGGGTCTTAGCCAGGGAGTGGCCTCCTCGGAGGAAGCTGGGCAGCAGGCAGTGCAGGACTAGAGCCGGGTGCTGGGCCTGCCTGCAGCCTCGCCGCACACGGTTTCAGGATCTGCATACCCTCTTCCATGGCTGGTAGAGAGCATTTTCGGCAGCCTGGATGGTGTCCTCGTTGGCTGGAACCTCTGCTTCTTACAGGGGCACCTGGATCCTGTGGAGTACAGCATCGTGGAGTTTCTCAATCCTGGGTAGGGAGGTTTGTCACCTGAGAGAGGCTGGGTGCTTTCTCATGGTGATTCCACCTTTAAATCACTCTCTCGATTTCTTAAGAAACAATCAAAGCAAGATAATTTGCAGTTTATTTGCCCTGTTTTTGTTTGTTTGGTCAATTTAATGTTCAGTGGCCCAATGATGAAGTTGGTTTATAAGCTTCAGGCTGAAGACTGGAAGGTTGACTTTCCCATCTCCTTCCTGCCTGTAAGTAAACCACAGTGGTGAGAGTGGTGCTCGGGACAGTGGACCTTGCACAGCTCTGCGGTGACGGGCAGTCTCCTCCAGTCCTCCAAGGACAAATTGAGGGGTGATTTGCTCGGGGGATATGAGAGGGAAAGGACATGGGTATCGCATGGCTGCTACCCTTGCTGTCTGCAGCTTTTTATGAGATGGTAGGAGAAGTTCTAAGCAAAGACTCTTGTTCAGGCACTGCTCAGAGACAGGGCACTGCCCCCACAGGTTGGTTCTGTGTGCACGTCTTCCCCAGCAGCCTTCCCAAAGGCTGCTGTGTGGGGGGCACCAGGTATCAGGCACTACGTACCAGCACCTGCCCACAGCCTCGCTGCATCTCTCTGCAGGGTCCTCTGAAGGCGTCCATCCAGGAGCACGTCCTCCTCAACAGTCCCCTGTACCACAATGAGGTCCAGTTCCCCCTCACTGGGGGCTTTGGCCTGAACCTAGTCCTGAGTATCCTTTGGTGGCCCTGAGGTAGGGAGGCTGTGGGTGACTCAGCAACCCTGTGTGTTTACCCCTGACGCTGCTGTCAGATCTGTTGGAGTATTACATATTCTCCTTTGCCTTGAGCTTCATCACTCAAAAAGTAGGGAAGAGATGCCTCTTGCTGGGAGGGGCGGGGCCATGGCCCTGGGCTTCCCTGCACTTGCCAGTGCTTGGTGGCCAGGTGGTGTCCAGAGCCCACACTAACAAATAGCTTGGTTTTCCAGCCACTCCGTGTCCCTCCACGTCTGTACTTCAGGCGTACCTACTTCATCCTGGTGGACAGGTACCTGTTGTGGTTCCTGCCCACTGAAGGCAATGTGCCCCCACCCCACACTCTCCTCCAGCCCAGGGGCGCCAGACCCTCACCTGCTCCCAGGTAAAGCTGCCCTGATTGTTACCAGCAGGTCTTGATAGGGAGGCTCTGGGTCAAAGAGTCTGTTGTACCAGCCCAAACAGGCTGGGCCTGATGCCGGACTGCACGGAGAGGGAGTGTGAACCAGGAGCTCTCATGTCTGGCTGTGCTGGGGCCTCAGTGGGCCCTAACCCAGGGCCTCTTGGCTGACTTCCCAGGAGACCCCTTTGCTCCAGCAGCAGCTGCCTGTGCACCTCCGACTCTCCTCAGTCTCTCTGGCCTATCCCGGGAGGCTGCATGCAGGCCCCTCCCTGCAGATGCTGGCCCATCCCAGATCTGCTGGCATGTGCAGACCAGGCCGTGCCTCTACCTACAATTCACATGTTGAACAGGTGACCCCAGAGAGTGGCAGGGAGAAAGGGGGCAGCAGGAGGAGACGCTGCCCGGGTGGCGGCAGTGATCAGTGGCCCTGAAATGTGGCTGATCCTGTGGAGGACTCGGAGGCGAGGCGGATTCACACCTCTCAGATGCACAGTCCAGCTGCCAAGCGGTCATTTTACGCCTGTTTTTTGTTTTTTTTGCCTGTTTTAACATTTTGGGTCTTTTTACTTTTTTCTTTTAGAAATTATATATATAATATTAAAAATACATAAATTGTACATAATAAATATATAATTATAACATATTAATTCATATTATATTTAAATATATTATACATATTTTATATATTATATATATACATTTTTTTGAGATGGAGTCTCACTCTGTCACCTAGGCTGCAGTGCGGTGGCACAATCTTGGCTCACTGCAACCTCAGTGTCCCAGGTTCAAGCAATTCTCCCACCTCAGCTTCCTGAGTAGCTGCGATTACAGGCATGTGTCACCACCCTCAGCTAATTTTTGTATTTTCAGTAGAGACAGGGTTTCACCATGTTGGCCAGGCTGGTCTTGAACTCCTGACCTCAACTGATCTGCCCACCTCAGCCTCCCAAAATGCTGGGATTATAGGTGTGAGCCAGTGAGCCACTGCACCCTGGCTTTTTTTTTTTTTTTTTTTTGAGACAGGGTCTAGCTTGGTCACCTAGGCTGAAGTGCAGTGCAACGTCGACCTCCTGAGCTCAAGTGATCCTCCTCCTTCGGCATCCCAAGTAGCTGGTACTGTAGGCATGCTGCACCCCCACACCCAGCCTTTACTTTTTGTAAGATGTGTCTAGTTATGCTGCCCAGGCTGGTCTAGAACTCCTGGGCTCAAGTGATCCTCTTGCCTCAGCCTCCCAAAGTGCAGGGATTATGGGCATGAGCCACCAAATTCAGCCATCATGTTTGTTTTTTGGTATGTTTTGGAGACAGGGTCTCGCTCTCTTTCCCAGGCTGGAGTGCAATGGCAAAATCTCAGCTCACTGCAAGCTCCGCCTCGGGTTCAAGTGATTCTCCCGGCTCAGGGAGAGGGCTGCCCTTTGGGCTGTCTGATATTTGCTGGGGCTTGCTGAGGGCCGCCCCTTGGGCTGATATCAGCTTGGGCTTTGTTGGCAGTAGCACCGCAGTGGGACATCTGGTCCTTGCCAAGTGTCTCACCAGGAGGGCTGCAGTGCGTCTTTACCCCATTGCTGATGATGCTAGCGTTATCACTGGGCAGAAAGAATGTCGGCCAGGTTTGTCCCTGTAAAATCAGTACTTTGTGCCTAGATTAAATAGTAATGAAGCCAGGCGCTGTGGCTCATGCCTGTAATCCCAGCACTTCGGGAGGCCAAGGTAGAGGATCACTGGAGTTCAGGAGTGCGAGACCAGCCCGGACAACATAGAAAAACCCCATCTCTACCCAAAATTTACGTCAGGCATGGTGGTGTGCACCTGTAATTTCAGTTATGTGGAAGGCTGAGGCGAGAGGAACATTTTCACCCTGGAGGCAGAGGTGGCAGTGAGCCAAGATCGTGCCACTGTACTCCAGCCTGGGCTACAGAGCGAGACCTTATCTCAACAATAAAAATTAGTAATGAGTGCCTGGACAACATAACACGATTTTGTTCCTGTTAAAAACATTAGCCAGGCATGGTGGTGTGCACCTGTCGTCCCAACTACTTGGGAGGCCTAAGTCTAGGAGGTTGAAGTTGCAGTGAGCTGTGACTGCGTCATTGCACTCCAGCCTGGGCAACAGAATGAGACACTGTCTCAAAAAATAAAGAAAAAAGAATTGGTAATGAGGATTTATCAGGAAGATGTATGAGGACTTTATAATTTCACTAGTATTAGCATCTGCTGTTGATTCTCTCCTTTTTTCAAATTCATTTTATTTTATTTTGAGACAGGTTCTTGTTCTCTCACCCCAGGCTGGAGTGAAGTGCTGTGATCTCGGCTCACGGCAGCCTTAACTTCCTGGGCTCAAGTGATCTTCCCGCCTGAGCCCAAGTATCTGGGACTATAGGCAGGCACCACCACACCTGGCTAATTTTTGTATTTTTGTAGAGACAGGGTTTTGCCATGTTGCCCAGGCTGGAAATTTCTTATTTTTTTAGAAACAGGGTCTTGCTCTGTCACCCCAAGCTGGAGTGAAGTTGGCATGATCATGCATCACTGTAGCCTCAACTCCTGGACCCAAGCCATTCTCCTTCCTCAGCCTTGTAAGCAGCTAGGACTACAGGCACATGCCACCATGCCCAGCTATTTTATGGTTTAATGTTTTTGTAGAGACAGGGTCTCACTTTGTTGCCCAGGCTGGTCTCAAATGCCTAGTCTCAAGAAATCCTCCTACCTTGGCCTCCCAAAGTGCCGAGATGACAGGTGTGAGCCCCCATGCCTGACCTCAGTGTTGATTCTGGACCAAATCAGCTCTTAATAGGGTGGTTGCCAAATGGTGGTTCTCTAACTTCATCCCTTCTACATTGATTGGTGGGTCAGTGGTCACTCTGTGGTAAGGAAGACTTCTCTCTTTGCTATTTATTCAGGGATGTCAGTGTGGATCACGGGGCGGCGGGGAGCATTGTGTTATTGAACAAGTTATAATCAGTCCCTACTGCCACAGATTTTGATGTCCAGATTGTCCCTGGCTACGCCAGTGGGAGCCTGTAACTTGGACCTGTTTCCGTGTCTCCCTCAGGACACCAGCCATGCCCTTTGCTTCCTACAGCCTCCACCACACTAGCCTCCCGAAGCCAGACATCTCTCATCAGACGTCTGTGAATGCGGACCCCACCTCCCACGAGATCTGGAGGTCAGAAACTCTGCTCCAGGTGAGAGTCGAGCTGGTCAAAAGAAACTGTTCAGCCAGCAGGCGCCGTGGCTCATGCCAGTAATCCCAGCACTTTGGGAGGCTGAGGTGGGTGGATTATGTGAGGTCAGGAGTTTGAGACCAGCCTGTCCAACATGGTAAAACCCTGTCTCTACTAAAAACACAAAAAGTAGCCAGGCATGCTGGCAGCCGCCTGTAGTCCCAGCTACTCAGGAGGCTGAGGCAGAGAATTGCTTGAACCGGACGAGGCAGAGGCTGCAGTGAGCTGAGATCACACCACTGCACTTTAGCTTGGGTGACAGAGCTAGACTCCATCTCAAAAAAAAAAAAGAAAGAAAGAAAGAAAGAAAAGAAACTGTTCAGCCACCTTCCACTATGTGGAGGAGTGTCCCAGAGACAGCCCCTCAGCCAGGGGCTGATTCTAAATTGTTGATATTTTCCTGCTATGACATTTAGAAAACATGAAAATAAATCTGCCCACCAATCTAGCTTATATGTCATTGACAATGTTTTTCATCCCAGGATCTCCTGTCCACGGGAGTTGTTTTGTTTTGCCCGTGGTGATATAATTGTTTCCATCTTTTAGTTTCCATTTCCTGTGTTGTTGGAGATGTTTCCTGTGATTACCACCATGTGGATATTAAGCCTTGCCCTAGTAGCATTTTTATGACACTGAATGGTGAGGGGTCTGTGCAGCCTCCACAGGCCTTCAACTGATTCAGAGGATTTGAGTAGTAGGTGACAGAGTCCCTTGTCTGCCCAGAGGCGATCCAGCCTCTCAGGATGGTATGGGCCGGCTCACTTCCTGAGTGCTGGCCACCTCTCAGGTCCTGGCTGTGTGTTCTTGGCACACCTCAGAGAATCGGCAGGTGCTGCTTCTGACACTGGATCCTAGGGCTGACCTGGTAGCCTCAGCCTCACTGTTGACAGTCTGGAATGTAGGTAAGATAGGATTCTTTTTCCCACCTTGTACATAACTCCTAGTATCTGGGGTGCTGCATTTTTTGAAGCCTCCATGCCATTTCACAGCTTCCTCCAGGGGTGGAATGGTAGGAACCATCATTCCTGTTCAGAGGGGACCACGGTGCCCCGATGGCTCTCGGGTATGTGGACTGTAGGCTGTGCTGGCTGTGAAGTGGGCAGGGCAAGCTTACAGGACAGAACTGAAAGGTTCTGTTGTTTTCCAGACCAAAGCATTATTATTATTATTATTCTAGATGGAGTCTCTGTCACCCAGGCTGGAGTGCAATGGTGAGATCTTGGCTCACTGCAACCTCCACCTGGGTTCAAGTAATTCTCCTGCCTCAGCCTCTGAGTGGCTGGGATTACAGGCACCCGCTGCTGTTGCAGGAAGTCAGAGACCCCAAATGGAGGGACTGGCTCTGTGTTCTTGGCAGAAGAACATAAATTGTGAAGATTTCATGGACATTTATCACTTCCCCAATCAATACTTATAATTTCCTATGCCTGTCTTTAATCTCTTAATCCTGTCATCTTCATAAGCTGAGGATCCTGTGATGATTGCGTTATCTGCACAAATTGTTTATAGAGCATGTGTGTTTGAACAATATGAAATCTGGGCATCCAAAAGGAACAGGATGGCTGCGATTTTCAGGGAACAAGGGAGATAACCATTGGGCCTGACTGCCTGAGGGGCCAGACAGAACAGTTATACTTCTCTTCTTACAAAAGCGAATGGGAGAAATATTGTTGAATTCTTTTTCTCAGTGAGGAACAGCCCTGAGAAAGAGAATCATCCCTAGGGGGAGGTCTCTAAAATGGCCGCTCTAGGAGTGTCTGTCTTATACAGTTGTAGGTAAGGGATGAAATAAGCCCCGTCTCCTGTAGCACCCCCAGGCTTATTAGGATTAGAAAATTTCTGCCTAGTAAATTTTAGTCAGACCGGTTGTCTGCTCTCAAACCCTGTCTCCTGACAAGATGTTATCAAGGACAATGCATCCCAGTGGGACATGAAACTTCATCAGCAACTCTAATTTCACCTTGGTCCTGTGATCTTACTCTGCCCCCATTTACTTTGTGATATTTTATTGCCCTTGAAGCATGTGACCTCTGTGACCCACACCCTATTTGTACACCCCTCCCCTTTTGAAATCCATAATAAAAACTTGCTGGTTTTGTGGCTCAGGGGGCATCATGGAACCTGCCGACATGTGATGTCTCCCCCGGACACCCAGCTTTAAAATTTCTCTCTTTTGGACTCTTTCCCTTTATTTCTCAGACCGGCTGACACTTAGGGAAAATAGAAAAGAATCTACATTGAAATACTGGGGGCTGGTTCCCCCAATACGCTGCCATGCCCAGCTAATTTTTGCATTTTTAGTAGAGACAGGGTTTTATCATGTTGGTCCAGGCTGATCTCGAACTCCTAACCTCAGGCAATCCACCTGCCTCAGCCTCCCAAAGTGCTGGGATTACAGGTGTAAGCCACCACACCTGGCTCTTTTTGCTTTTCAATTAATAAAAAAAATTTTAATTTTAAAATATACATAAAATGTACTGCCTTAACCACTTCCAAGTGTACAGTGAGTAGTGTTAAGTACATTCACGTTGCTGTGCATCCCATCTCCAGAATGCTTTTCACCTTGCAAAACTGAAACTGAATTGGCCTGGGAACGGGGGCCTCACACCTGTAATCCTAGCACTTTGGGAGGCCAAGGAGGGAAGCATTGCTCAAAGCCAGAAGTTCAAGACCAGCCTGGCAAACATAGTGAAACCCCATCTCTTTTAACAAAAAAGAAACTAAACTGTTAAACAATTCCCCACCCAGCCCCTGGCAATCACTATTCCGCTTTCTTTCTATGGATTTGACTCCTAGATCTCATATTGCATAATGGACTCAAGATTAATCCACGTTACAGATTGTCAGAAATGTCCTTCCTTTTTAAGGCTGAATAGTGTTCTATTGTGTGGATGTACCACATTATGTGTATCCATTCATCTCCCAGTGGACACTTGAGTTACTTCAGTTTTTCTTTTTTGTTTGAGACAGGGTCTCACTCTGTGTTACCCAGGCTGGAGTGCAGTGTCACAATCTCAGCTCACTGCAGCCTCAAACTACTGGGAACAAGTGATCCTGCCACCTCAGACTCCCAAGTAGCTGAGACTATAGGTGTGTCCCATCACACCCAGCTCATTTTTGTATTTTTTGTAGAGACAGATTTTCACTATGTTGGCCAGGCTGATCTTGAACACCTGCCTCGAGCGATCCACCTGCCTCAGTCTCTCAAAGTGCTGGGATGACAGGCATCAGCCACCACATCTGCTGGTTGCCTTTTGACTCTATCAGTAGTATCTTTTAATAAAAGAGTGTTGACTTTGATAAAGCCTGGTTGTCTGTTTCTTTTGTTGCCTGAGCTTTGGGTGTCATATCTAATTAATCGTCGTGAAATCCAGTGTAACGTTCTCCCATGTTTTCTTCTGAGTTTATGGTTTTAGTTCTTATCCTTGGATTGCTTACTGACTTAGTTTTTGGCAATGGTGTGAAGGAAGGGCCCAGCTTCCCTGTTCTGCATGTGGATATTCCGTGTTCCCAGCTCTATGTTGGAGGCACTGTCCTTTCCCCACTGAATGGTCTTGGCACCATTGTTGAGAATTTGACTAATGCTTTTTTGCAGGTTTTTGTTGAAATGTTGCTTTGCTAGTATTCCTCGGAGATGTGCCAAAATATGCAGTCCCCTTACGCCAAGGTATGTTTCCACAGTTTTTGTTCCCTCCTCCTTCTTCTGACCCTGCTCAGCCTGTTGTTTCTTATCCTGCCTGAGTTTGCCCAGGCTGGATGGTGGGAATAGAAACTCACCACCCACCCCTCACTCAGAAGCCAAACAAGAGGTGGGCATAGTTCTCTAGTCCCTGATGGGGGGCAGGGGGCGTTGCACCCTGTTGTGTGGACACTTGAGGCCTGGCCTCTCTGGAGCCCCCTCCCTGGCAGGGGAACAGATGAAGCTGTGGTGCTTTTGCTCTGGGTGTGGCGGAACTGTGATGTCTCTGGGAGCCACGTTCTCGTCTCCTTGACCATTAGCAGCAACTTGGTGTTTTCTCATGAAGTGGCTGCCTGGGGCAGACGTCTGCCCACGGTGGTGACCTGGAGCCTCCTTTTGCTGTCCCCCCTACTCCCCCACCTCCTCCAGAGCATGAACAAGCAGCCGCTGTCACAGTGTGTGGGGCCTGGCGCCCTCCTGCATGAGGCCTGGCCTGCCTTCTCTCCCTCCACTTTACCTCTTCCTGTTCCCTCTCTGGGGAACACACTAGTCACAGATGCATGGAGGTGACGGAGACCCCGGGTCACTCCTGCTGTTGCTGTCCATGGAGCTAACATCCCCCGGACTAGTCAGAGTGAGAAAGCGGTAGATCCCCTGTCGCTCACCCTCCGTGGAGCAGCCTGGCTCACACAGATCCAGGATTCTGCCTGAGGTGGCATCAGTCACGTCGTCTGGTGCCCACAGTGTCTGTGCATCAGTGTGCTTCGGAGACTTTGGCTTTGTCACTAACACCATTCTTGAGGGCTTCCTCTAGAATAAAGGCTCTGTGGGTGATGGAGTTCAGAAGAGCATCCTGTCACTCTTCCTCTGCTTCCGAGGAAGAGCTGTGGATCTGCTTCTGCCACAGTCTCTGCAGCCAGTTCTACGGCCCCAGGCTTTGCAGTGTGGAGGCTGTCTTAAAAGCATAGGGTCCCCAAATCCTTACCCTCAGCATCGCATGGGAGAACGGGGAAAAGCTGAGGACCCCAGCTGGGGCCTCCTGAGTCACCAAGAGCCTGCAGTGCCCTTCCTGCTCCCAGAGCAGACTAGCTGCGTGCGCCTGGGGGCCTGGTTGTTCCCAGGGCCCATTCCTCCCATGCGGCTCTGGGACCCTCAATGTTCCTGCATGTGGTTCTGGCCTGGCAGGAGCAGGGGCTGCTACACTGCATTGTGTTCCTGTGGCTCCTTCTGCCTTCTGAGTGGAAACGCACCTACTTTCAAAGGCCAGCCAGAAAGGCTCTTCTGGGCTGTCACCTGTGAAGATTGTGTCCTCACGGGCCAGACGGAAAAGCAGGTGGCTGTCCCTGGAGAAGGCAAGAGGTGCCTTTCCCTTGTCCACACTCACGTACTCTTGGCCAGACCTAGGGGTGGGTGGGCCCTGCTCAGAATGACTTGCAGTGCTGGTACCAAGTACCCAAAAATAATCCACTCTTTGCTTCTTCCAACTGAGGTTAAAAAAAAAAAAAAAAGTGAGAAAACTGGGTGGGTGGGAACAAGAGAAAGGCAGCTACGGATGTCTGTGTCCTCTAAGGTCCCTTGCCACTTGCCTGGGCCTGTGCCGCACCTGCCATAGATAAATCACTGCCCATTCCTGCTAGCCCTTGTCTCCAGACGCAAGAAGTGAGGCTCCTGGGGTCATCGCCCTCACCCTGGTTGAGTCCAGGGTGTGTGCTTGCTCCTTGGTGGCCCTGTGGGCAGTAAGGACAGCCATGGTGCTGCACGCCACTGTGTCCCTGCAAGTGAGGAGACACCACACGGGGGACCTGTATGTCTGATTCCTGCCTGAGACCCAGATCTGGCACAGAGGAAGGGTGTGGAGGGCACCACCACCCTGCTCCGCCTGTCTTGATGTCTAGTAGGTGTGTTCTGATCTCTCCTGATGTGGACCCCAGTGGGTGCACTGCTCAGGCAGGAGGCATACTGCTGTCAGAGCAGGATGTGCGCGTCGCTCTGGCTGTGCTAGGCTGAGTGTGCCTTGGCAGGCCACGGTGCTGCAGGGCGTGGAGGAAATTGGAGGCTCTTGGCTGGGAGCCAGCTCAGCCTCAGATTCCTGCTCCCTCTGGGTGTGTGTGGTTCTGGCCAGATCCTTGGGAGCTCCTGCCCTTGGAAGCCCACCGTTATCTGCGAGGGTGATAAGTTCCTGGTGGCTACAGGAGAGGCGTTGCCTCCTAGATTTAGAGCTGATGT